GGATTTGATCCTAGGTACTGCATGTACCTGGCATGGTGGTGCATGCCTATAAATCCCAGCACTCAAGAGGTGGAGGCAGGAGGATACCAAATTCAAGGCCACCCTCTACTGCAAAGCCAGTTCTAGGGCAGCCTGGACTACATGCATACTTACACACAGGTTGATCAACAGGAAAACCTGGTAAGAACCTGAGATATGCTACCTCCACCAAAGCCAGGGAACTAAATTGAAATGGTGGGTCCTCAGCCCCCTACAGACAGGAAGGAGCCAGAGGTTGTTATGGAAAGGGAAAGAGTGCCTGGATCACTGGAGTCAGGACACTCAAGAACAACCTACATATCAAATAGATATGCCATGAAGGATAGGTCCATGAGTGGGGAACTGATAATTTCAAACAAAACAGAAGGCTTATCTAATTCATAAAATGTTCTTAGGCTGTGCCTGTGACACTTTGGAGGTCAGTGTCAAGGAATCTTAAGTTTAATATTAAAATCCAAAGCTGAAATTACCTATAAGAAAAAAGCTATAAAAGTGGCCAAATTAATAACATTGTTAGGATGATCCAGTCCAAATGGAGAAGGTACAGTTAGTTCCTTGTAATCCTGTTTTTGAAAAGTGATTTGGAAGTACAGAAGGGATGATCTTTGCTCCTCCCCCTTTTCTTCTACCTTCAAATAGTTTTCAGAAATAATTTCTCCTTTCCAAGACTATAGGTTGTATCTTGATGTATACAAAATTAGTCTTTGAAAGTTAACTCCAATTTCCAGAAATCCAACAAGCTGAGTGTCGTAGTTTCTTACCCTATCACTATGATAAAATACCCTGACAAGCAACTCAAAGGATAACAGGTTTATTCTGCCTCACAGTTCAAGGGTAGAGTCTACCATGGCAGGAGAGTCAAGGGGCAGGAGCTTGAAGCAGCTGGTTACATCACATCCACAGACAGGAAGCAGAGAGATGAACCCTGTGCTCAGCTGGCTTTCTCCAATTTAAACAGTCCAGGACCCAAACCAAGAAAATGGTGCACCTACTCTTAGTGTGAGTCTTCCCACCTCAGTTAACCCAGTCAGTGTACTCCCTCTCAGGTGTGTCTGGAGGCTTGTCTTCCAGGTGATTCCAGATCCCATCTCCTTGTCAAATAACACTGTTACACTAAGGCATGTTAGTGGACATTTTCTGAAGTTCCAGGTTGTTATACCTGCTGCTTTGGATTTCTGGTTTTTTTTTGGGGGGGGGGTTGTGTTTTTGTTGTTTTTTTTTTTTTTGGGTTTTTTTTTTTTTTTTTTTTTTTTTTTTTTTAAAAAAAAAAAAAAAAAAAAAAAAAAAAAGAGGACGATAAATCTTTCACTGTGATATATCAAAATAATTTTTTTTTTTTTTGTGTGTGTGTGTGTGTGTGTGTGTGTGTGTATGCTAATGTGTATAGGTGCCCACAGGCTAGGAGTGTCAGATACTCTGCAACTGGAGTTATAGGTGATGGTGAGCTATGGATGATGGAAACCAAATTCAGGTCCTCTGTAAGAGCAGCAAGCACTCAACCACTGGGCCATCTCTCCAACCCTAGGGCTTTCTGTTTCTCTTCTGGCCTGAAAATCTACAATATACAAAATGATATTCCTGACTGTTCCCTGCAGCCATTCCTAGCCGATTGGTTCCAACTTCCAGAGTTACTAAACAGCAAAACAAAAACGTCATGTGTTAACAATGTTTTACTAAATTATTCAGAGAAAGCCTTAAAGTGAAATAGTGTTTATGACTGCAATATTTCCTCCTCCTCATTTCCCATCTCTTTTCCCAGTGTTGCATCTTTTACACTTTCAAGGCCATGATCACTGATACATAGGGAAAGTCAAGTGACTCAAGTAGGTCTGTTGTATTTAGGATGGAAATCAATGATTAGCTTAGAATTTAAGGGACGTTTGACTGTTTAATAAAGCTGTCCACAATAATCCAAAAATGCTTTAAGGATAGCTATTACAGTGAAGTAGGCCTTTTTGTTTCTTTTCCCTGGACTTCCCCAGGGTTCCTATCTATCTATCTATCTATGTATCTATCTATCTATCTATCTATCTATCTATCTGCCTATCTATCTGCCTATCTAGTTCTAGTTTGTTTCTCCATTGCTGTGACAAAACACTGACCAATACCACTTGGGGAGGAAAGGGGAAAGGGTTTATTTGGCTTACATCTCTGGGGTCAGACAGTTCATCACTGATGGAGCCCAATGTAGGAACTCAGGACAGGAATCTGGAGGCAGGAGCTGAAGCACAGGCCATGGAGGAACCCTGCTTACTGACTTGCTCCCCTGGCCCTTGCTCAACTTGCTTTCTTCTATGACATAGGCTGACCTGCCCATGGGTGGCACCACTCACAGTGGGTTGGGCCCTCCCTGGGCCCTCCCACATCACTCAATCAAGAAGATGCTCCACAGCCATGACCAGAGGCCAGTCCAATGGAGGCAATTCATCAATTGAGGCTCCCTCTACCCAGGTGTGTCAAGTTGAAAACTAAAGCTATCCAGCACAATTGACCCCTTGTCATTTTGACACACAAATACATCACTATTAAACCACATTCCATTTCTTGTCCCCTAGATAATGTTAATATCACAATATAAGACAGTACAGCCTTAGAAGTCCCACAATTCTTAAAAAAACCCAAACACTTAAAAGTCCATACAGTCTTTTTTAAAAGTCTCTTTTACCTGTGGGCTCCTGTAAAATCTAAAACAAGTACTGTCTTATTTCAAAAGGGAAGAATAGGGCACACCTAAGCAAACTTAAGTCCAGCAAAGTAGCTCAAGGCTGGACAGCTGGGATTCACTTATGATCTTCAGGGCTCCAAAGGGTTCTGGCAGCTCCACTTCTAACTCTGCCATCCACAGCACACACAGCTAGCCTTGTAGACCCAGGCCAGCTCCATTCCATACCAACTACTGCCCTTGGTGGTCATCCCATTGTCCTGGCATCTCCAAAACCTGGCATCTCCACTGAAACTGGGGCTGCACTTTCACCAATGGCCTTTCCTGGCCTCTCAGGGTGCCAAGCCTCAGCTGCTCTCTGTGACCCCTTCACACTTTCAACACCAGAACCATGCAGGAGACTCTTACACATTACCAAGTCCTGCTTCCAGCTTGAGATGGAGGCTCGGGCCCCCTCTTGACCATATCTTTTGTAAAGATTTTGCCACAGTGATGCTGGTCTCGTGTTACTTACAGCTGATTTTTCAGGCCCAGCTAACCAGCATCAGTTGTCCCAGTAAAGCAAAGGTTTCACTTTAGTGGTTCTGGTCTCAATCACAGCTGATTCTTCAGCCCCAGCCAAGTAGAAACCACAGATTCTCAATTCAAAATATTCCATAAACAGCCCTCACAGTCTCTGCTTCCCTTTGAAGTTTCACAAGCCAGGCCTCCACCATCTTCAACTCTTTCAGTATAACTGTTCCAAGCTCCACAGCAACAAACTCGAGCACTCAGTACCTTTGCCAGCCCAAAGTTCCAAATGCTTCTGCATTCCTCCCCAAAACACCAAGGCCAGGTGTGTCACAACAATACCCCACAATCCTGGTACCAATTTCTGTCCTAGTTTGTTTCTCCATTCCTGTGACAAAACATTCTGACCAAGACCAACTTGGGGAGGAAAGGGTTTATTTGGCTTACATCTCCCAGGTCACAGTTCATTAGGGAGCCCAAGGTAGGAACTCAGGGCAGGAACCTGGAGGCAGGAGCTGAAGCACAAACTATGGAGGAACACTGCTTACTGGCTTGCTCCCCTGGCTCCTGCTCCACCTGCTTTATACAACACAGGCCCACCTGCCCATGGTTGGCACCTCCCACAGTGGGTTGGGCCCACCCACATCACTCAGTAATCAAGATGATGCCCCACAGCTATGGCCACAGGCCACTCCAATGGATGTAATTCACCAATTGAGGCTCTGTCTACCCAGATGTGTCAAGTTGACAATTAAAACTATCCAGCACGTGCGCACACACTCGTTTATTTATGTTTATGTGTATGAGTGTTTTACCTGAGTGTATGTAAGTGCACCCATGTCATGCACTACCTACCATGAGACTAGAAACATGTATCAGATCCCCAGAACTAGAATTACAGACTGCCATGTGGGTGCTAGAAGCTGAACCTGGGTCCTCTGCAAAAGCAGCCAGTACTCTTAACTGCTGAGCCATCTCTCCAGCCCCCACATACCCATCCCCTGTTCTTAAAGCAAAGGTTTCTATTTGCTTTCTACACCATGCTGCTTCCTTCTCTTTTTAATTACATTTATTCTTTTACAAGAGTGAGATGTATGTGGGGAGGTGTAAGTCAGAGGACAAGTTGCAGGAGTTGGTTCTCTCCCTCCATCATGAGGGGCCTGTGGATTGAACGTGGGTCATCAGGCTTGGTGACAAGCATCTTTACCCACTGAACCATCTCACTAGCCCTTGCTTCCTTCTTAACATTTCTTTGTAATAGTCATCACCTCTTCTAGAAAATGTTTTCCATTCACCTTGTGAAACCATCCAGAAACCTCCCCTTTACCCTCCAATCCTGATGATTGTGTGTATCCTGTTCCGCCTGTCTTCTCCATCACCTCCTCACCTGTACATTTTCAAAGGTTGTCCACAAGTGCCTTTGCTCTCTGAGCCATTTGCTAGCTCCAGTTTGTAACTCGTGATGACTCTCCATGGGCTTATGAAGAGACTGCTAAGACGTCCACTCAAGGCATTCTGAGGCCCCTGTTGCTGGGATGATTTCAGCGTAACCCCAGCTTTGGAACCTGTGCTTTTTGTCTATGCCACAAATGCTAATTCTGCTGACTGGGACCTCAGTCATTGTGTTATGCTGTCCCTGATGAGAGTGTGGCTCTGAAAGGATGTTGTAGATGCTCTGGTTTGGTGTGACTGGCTGCCCAGAACTGCTTTGCTTACACTGAGCAGGGATGGTTCCTTGAATGGAAGTGCATTCATTAAACACTTTGAGCTCTCTCTCTTTTTCCCACAGCAGTCTGAGCTGTCTGCTGAAGAAAGGCCAGAAAAGTTAGGAACCTCCCAGCTGCACCGGCGGAAAGTCATTTCCTTGAACAAGCAGATTCTGCAGAAGACCAAGCACCTGGAGGAGGTGAGTGCTTTTATAGGTCCATTTAAATAAGTGCAACTGTTCTTCAAAGGGGGAAAGTGGGAAAATGAACAGAAGACCTTCATTAAAGGTTGGTCAGAAGCTCCAGAGCAGGGTTTGTGTCTACAGACCTTGAGCCAACCTGGCTGCTCCTGTTTTTGTAAATAAAGTTTAATGTGTGTGTGTGTGTGTGTGTGTGTGTGTATACCTGTGTGTGTATACCTGTGTGTAAGCATGTTCATGTGTGTGAGCACAGTTGTGTGCAAGTGTACATGTGGAACAATTGCAGGTATCTTCCTCGATCCCTGTCCATTTTGTTTACTGAACCAATGCAGCTAGCCTACCTAGCTAGGCTGCCCCAAGAATCCCTTTTCTCCAGTTCCTGAGCGCTGAGATTATAGGCAGGTCACTAAACTCACTCAGCTTTTTGTGTGAGTTCTGGGGGTCTAAACTCCAGGCTTCACTCGTGCACGGTAAGCACTTTATCCCTCTAGCCCTCTCCCTAGCCCCATAAATAATGTTCTGTTGGAAAAGGTGAACACTCACTGATTTTCTTTTGCTCTCTAGCCACCATACCAGAGTATAGTAGTTGCCACAGAGATCAAATGACCCACAAACCTGTCAGGCCCTTTATAAGAAAGGTTTTCTATCCTCTATTATAGAAGATATAGGGCAGGGCTGGAGAAATGGTTCAGAAGTTAAGAGCGCTTGCTGCTCTTGCAGAGGATGGAACTCAGCTCCCAGCACCCACTTCTCTCTGCTGACAACCACCTATAACGCTAGCTTTGGGGGATGCCCTCTCCTGGACTCTACAATCACCCATGTGCGTACACACACACACAGAACTCAGGATTGAATAGCCTGAGTTCAATCCCTGGAACCCCTATGGTTGATGGAAAGAACTGACTCCCACAAGCTGTCCTCTGACCTCCGCACATGCTACATATACATGTGTGCATGTGAGTGTATATGTATGTGTGTGTGTGCATGCATGTACACGCATGTGTTTGTCCTAAGCTCTGAACTACGCTTCAGAGATGAATGCAGAACAAGTTATGATCTCTGCCCATAAGGCCCTGGTGTTTAATGGAGACCTACACTAAATGAAACATCTGTCACACCATTTCGTTATAGCGCTGATGAGGGCTTGAGGAAATCTGGGGAGCTGAGTAGCTGATAGAAGAGCTGACTGAGCCTGAAGTTATGCCTGACTGAGTCTGGAAAGGCATTGACTGAATGAGAGTTCTGCATGGAAGTGTGGAGGAGCCAGGTGGTTACAAAATAATGTAATCAAAGACCAAGGAAGGAGGAGTCTTGACCAGTTTCTGTTTGGTGGTTAGGGAGTCTTGAGTGAGATGCGTGGTGGGCAGAGTGATCAACTACCTGGCAGGTCCATGTTAGGACAGTAGAAGCCACCAAATGGTTGAAGTAGGGGAGTGGCATGCTACGGATTGTTTTGTTTGCTGTCGTATCATGGATAGCTAACGAATGTGCATGGGTGAGACAGGAGTCAGCGAGAACCAGCCTTTAGGAGGCCGTTGCAGTAGGTAAGTTGACAATGGCAGGGAATTGGAAGAAACAAATCATTTTTTCAATTTATTTGTTGTGGGGGAAGGCCAACATGTGGCATGGTACACATGTGAAGGTCAGAGGACAACTTGGAGAAGTCAGTTCTCTCTTTTCACCAATTGGGTCCTGGGGATCGAAATTAGGTCGTCTGACTAGGTGCCAGGCGCTGAGATTAAGTGATAGAAATGTGACAGGATTAAGTGGCAGGATTTATGCAGAACACCTGGTTCATGACCTGATACCTACTTGGTGCATCTTAAATATAGGAGCTGATTTTCATGATTTGTTGTTTGCAAACCTTCTCAAATTCCCACACTGGGCTATGGGTGCAGTTAGGTGGTGGACACCATGATTATTATTCATGAAACCCTGGGTCAATTCTCAAATCCCAAAAACAAAAAGTTGAAAGTTTAAAAACTAAAATTCCTCCAGTTTAAATTAGCTTCAGCCTTTCTGAGCTTCCACCTTCTCATTTGTGAACTGGGGAAAATGATTCTGTTCAAACAAGTGTCCTTTACCTGTCATTTACAGCTGCAGAAGAATCACACCAGCCTCCAAGCCAGGTATAGTGAAAAAAAGAAGACGCTAACAGAGGTGAGCAGATCTCCCTCCTTTGCAGTGACCTCTGGTAAGAAGCATGTCTGACCAGTGCTGCTTGTGAAATGCCGACTTTCCTCGGCCACTGTGGAGGGGGCATGGTTCTGTCCTCAGAGTCTTGTCTATGCGAAGGCTAGATAGTTTCATGGTGGTGCTTGACCCATTTCATCAAGTTATCCCCACTGCTGTGATCTGAGCTTTGAGAGGCAGCTATGGGCTATGAGGGTTGGGAGGGGGGCCCCCTGAGGAAGGCCAGCCTGACAGGGAAGGGCACATAGAACTTGCAAATCTCAGAGCGAATGGCCCCTATACCTCAAAGCATCAGGCTCTGTAATTATAGTTCAGAGTCTCAGTTCCTTGGGACTGGGGAGATGGCTCAGTCAGTAAGTGCTTGTGTAATGTGAAGCCCTTGCCAAGGCTTCCTTAACCAGCAGAATGTTTAGAAGAGTCTGAGAGTCCAATTGTGACCTACCAGGCCCCCTCTCCACTTCATCTCTTTGCTCAGCCATCTGTCCAAAATGAGCCCACAGGGAGGAACATGGAGCACCCCCTTCTATCTGCTTCTAAGTCTCCACAGTGATGCCTGGTTCTCTCTTGCAGCTCAAGAGTCATAGTGAGAAACTAGACAAAGAACAGGCAGCCCTGGAGAAGATGGAAGCCAAAGCTGACCCAGGGTGAGGAGCTTCACCGTGTGACACCAGGTCACCCCCATTTCAACTTCCCTTGTGATCAGAGTAATGTGTTGTTCTGATGCAAAAACAGTGAAAAGGAACTGGGGTGGTAGCTCACTGGGTATAGTACTTGTCTTTCAAGCCTGAGGACCACAGTCTTCATGAAAGAGCTGGGCATGTTGTGGACGCCTGTAATCCTAGAGCTGCAGAGGCACAGACAAGAGGATCCGTGGGTTTGCTGGCAGCCAGCCTGGCCTACATGACAACTCCCAAACCAGTGAGACCCTGTCTCAAAAAACAAGGTAGAGCAGCTGGTAAGATGGCTGGGTATATAACAGTGCTTGCTGCCAAGCCTGACAGCCTGAGTTCAATCCATGGAACCCCTATGGTTGATGGAAAGAACTGATTCCCACAAGTTATCTTCTGACCTCCACACATATTATATATGCACATGCATGCGCGCGCATGTATGCACATATCACACACAAACCATATTCATGCATACTCACACAAAACATGCAATAAAACACTGAAAAAAATTTAATATAGGGTATAGACTCGAGAAATAGATCCTCAGTTAAGAGCACTTCTCTTGAAGAGGTCTGGATTTGGTTCCCAGCACCCATATCAGGGGGCTCACAATCACCTGTAATTCCAGGTCCAGGGATCCAGTGTCTTCTGACCTCTGAGGGCTCCTGCACATATGTGGTTCACATAAACTCAAGCACGCACACAAATGAAGTACAGGGTGGATAGCACCTGAGGAACAACACTTGAGGTTGTCCTCTAGCCTCCATGTGCATGTGCATACATGTGTACCTGCAGACATAAACATGGATGTTCTCTCCACCCCGTTCCAAGCTATCCACTCCACTCTTTATCAGTTTTACATTGGCACACCTTGCATCCATGTCTCCTCAGGAGGGAGCAGTAGTCCTTGATGCTCAGACCAAGCTGACCGAGCTGCTTTAGTTTTTATCCCCTCCCAACACCCTCCTCCCCGCCAAGTAAAATCAGTTATCATTAGAGGAGAGGAAGCACTTAACATTTAACCTTTTCAGCTCTAGAGTTTAGCTTGGATATTCTCCTAAAAGTGTTCATTTGAGTAAAATTGTGAAATCCTAAAGTTGCAGTCACAGAAAGAAGAGACCCGGATCGATGGGCACTCAGCAGGAAGTACCCTCAGATCACATGGTTCTGATTAGAAATTTTATATGAGAAGGAGCAAAATGCTTATAGATGGTTGACATTCTTATTTTGAAATTGGTGCTTTTTAAAATGACCTTTGGCAGCCTGTTTCCCTTTTAGAAAAGACAGTAAGAATGAGTTTAGGGGCTGGAAAGATGACTCATCAGGAAAGAGTGCTTGCTCCATAAGCATGAGAACCTGAGTTCGAATTTCCAGCACCCTTGTAAAATCCAGGCATGGCCACACACACTCCTGTAAGCCTAGTGTCATGGGGAGCAGAGGCAGGAGCACCACTGGGGCTTGCTGACCACCAGTCTAGCTCCAGGTTCAGTGAGTGGCCCTGTCTCAAGGGAATAAGGTAGTGAGGAAAAGAGCAGGATACCAGATGTCCTCCCCTGACCTGCACTGGCATGCCAGGCATGTGCATCTTCATACACACACATGCATACACCACACACACAAGTGGTTTTGATACTGTGTGTTCCCTGAGTATAGTTGAACAGTGAGTGTCACTAATGTATCCAGTACCACTGAAGCCAACTGATGTTTCAACGGTTGACATTTTAATTCTGGAATCCTTTCACATGTGCTGGCATCACTTGAGAGTCTTGAGGATCCAAATGAATAATATCAGAAATGAAGACCTGACCATTTGTGGAGATCCCATTACACACTCTCGGGGAAACAAAGAAAATTAAAACGGAGCCGTGTATCCTCACTCTGGCTTTAGCTGTGCTTTATAAAATCCTAATGGCCTCCATGCGACTGTTTGGTCTTTTCTCCTCAGCATTCTGCAGAGCCTCAGAGCACTGGTAGCCATGAATGAAAATCTAAAAAGTCAGGAGCAGGAGTTTAAAGCACACTGCCGGGTAAGTGTTGCTTGGTGTCGGCAGCCAAGCTTAAACCTGGAGGCTCATGGTTTCCCTCCCCTGTGCTGTTGGGGCATGGCTATCTAATGAAGAGAAAAAGGCAACTCGGGATGGCTCAGCCAGTAAAGGAGTGAGCCCCCAGCCTGAACACCTGAGTTCAGCCCCTGGGACCTACCTGATGGAAGGAGAGAACCAGCTCCACAAGTTGTCCTCTGACCTCCACACTCACCTACATAACAAAATTGTTTTTAAAGAAGGCAGTTAGTTGACCCCGTTGGTAGTTTATCTGAGCTTTCTAAAGGTTCACCTTTCCAGGAGGAGATGGCTCGGCTGCAGAAGGAAATTGAGACCCTGAAAGCGGAGAGATCGCCAGGGGGAGACGAAAAGGTAATGGCTTCAGCTAGTCCTCAGTGCCATCAGCTGCCTTATGGCTTCTGTACCGAGGCTTTCTGCAGTTCCCCGGCGGTGGGGGGGGGGGGGGGGGA